CAGTATTGGTGGGAGTGGAGAAGACCATGTCTTTGTTTTGTTTTTTTTGTTTTCCTCTGCATCTAAAATTAATCTATGGTTGTGGAGAGATAATTGTTGGGGATTAAAAGCAGTCTGTAGATGTGTCAAAACACTTGGGCTGGGGTGGAACTGGCAGCATATAAAATGCAATCATTAGCAAAAAAATTGGATATTAAAGTAATAGTTGGGAAGAATGATACTGTTAATGAATAGGATAAATAGCAATGGTCCTAGGATAGACCCATGTGGCCTCCCATTTTTGATTATAAGTGGACTTGATTGAGTACCATCTGCAAAGACAGTCTAGGATCTGTCAAGCAGGTGTGATGCAATAAGACATTATATGCTATGATAGGACACAATATGATATGACACAATACCACATGTTCAGACATTAATGGGATAACATGACATGGTACAACAACCAAAACGATCGGACATGACATAACTCGACACAATTTGATAGGACACAACATGATACAATACAATTAGACACAATATAATGAGATATGATACAATGTAATAGGACACGACATAATGTGATATGATATGATATGATATGATATATGGTATCACATGATGCATTACAAGTTAAGGCTGCACGATATTGGAAAAAATTAATATTGCGATTTTTTTCAACCCTGCGATATATATTGCGATATTAAAATATAGAGGAATTTTCACTAGATGACCTGAATAGCATTTAATGTTATGCTGCACTGCTGAAATCTTGAGGACAGCTAACCTGCACTGATCTTACCTCTTTTTGTGAATGTTAGTAGAACGGCTTCTGTCTGTCTCGGGGATATTTTTAGCTTTTATTGTTCTGGGACGTTATTGTGGAAACAGATGAACACAGAAGACGTGTTTTGGTCGACATTATCCATCTTGTAACCGAAATAATTCCAGATAACTGACTTTCCTTTTCTTTTTGGCAACAAGTCTTCATCTCCTGTGGTTTTCTCTGCTTGTTGCTCAGTTTGCGATCGTTGTTGTTGTTGTTAACGGGGTTGTGCTGAGAAACGCATGTCCTCCGAGAATTGCATGCACCTCACAAAACGCGCACTGCTTATAGTAAAGTGATCCACGGAAATGTACAATTTAAAACCCATACAGTTGTTATTTGTTGGGCTAAACAGTGATGAAGAATGTTCCGAAAGTAATTCTCAGCGGACACGCGTCTCACTCCATGTGCAGGACATGTTCAGGGGTGGGTTTCCTCCCATCTGATTTTGATTGACAGCTGGCAGGATAGTCTGATTGGCAACTGAGAACTGAGTCTGATTGGCAACTGAGTAAAGAACTAAGGTGATTGGTGGATCGCTGCACAGCACATGCAGAGTCACATGCAGTGTATCTCAGTCAGTTACTCTTGAAATTAACTGAGTTCATTCACCTCCGACATTGCAGGCTCTGCGATGTGACTATCGCACACGTACATCGCGATGACGATATTCAAACGATATATCGTGCAGGCCTATTACAAGTACAACAGGATACACACAATATGACTTGATACAAATACAATATGATGAAGCCAATATCCATTCACAATTTTGTTAGGGGAGTAAGTAATCAAGTTTATTTTCAAGCTTCAGAGAAGAGATTGCTTCATTAAAATGTTAATGTTTTTATTTTCCTGTTCTACTGCCTCATGCCTGGGTTATTAAATTCTTGTTTGTTAACAAACATGTTGTCAAACTGAAGAATGTAAAGGTACTTTGACCGGACAGTAACAGAGTTAATGCCAAATTGGTCACCAGATATACATTGGCAGGCCACCAAGGTGTCCAGTATGTGTGTGAGAGAAATACTGCCAGTGTTCCCCAACTGCCAAATCTACATCTGCTGCTGTTGTGCCAGGCAGAGTAAAGCTGGGCACTCTCTGTTAATCCACTAACTCTTGATTATCAGCGTTACTTTTTAGTTAACCTTGGCAGTTATCAAAACTTTTGACTTCTGTTAAATTGAGTTTTCTTTAACATCATCATTTTCCCATCATCAGACTTCACCACAGGACCACTGCAGACCAGTGTGGCTGAGAAGCATCTAGTAATGTGTTGGTCTCAAGCTATTGCTTGAAAAGCCAGCTGTCAAACATGAATAACATGACAAGTTGTTTGAGGGTCAAAAAGTGGGTTCTACCTAAACTGAATGACACGGATCGCTGAAAAGCGCTTTCATTCATGAAAAGTTTCCATTACTAGTAGCATTTGCACTAAGAGTTTACCTGAGAAAGAAGAAGAATCAAAACCCTCCTTTTATAAAGTAAGATGATAAGATATTTACTGTTATCAAAGTTAACATCTTTGTTCATGGATTGACAGCACATTGAGTGTAAAGAACTAATTACATTATACAGAAGACTTCAACGACAGATAGCACCCTCTGCTGTTTATATAAAGGTATCAAAATTCATGTTTCATCTCACTAATCTTAAAAGTTTCTTGTGTTTCTTAAATCATATCCTTCTGTCTTGTGAGGTACTTTTACATGCCTGTGATCACTAACTACACTTGAGGACAAATGTTCTCACAGTATGTTTCTTTAGTAGCAGGTTCAAAAGACTTTTTCTGCCTATGTTTGCTTCCCTGGGAGAGGCAGTAGACTTTAGTATATCTTACTGAGCCAGGTCAAGGAGGACAGCCTTAATTGACTCAACTTGGGTCCCCACAGGTCAGGAAAAGCAGCACATTTTAATGAGCTCAGGTCTCAAGGTGAGACACTATATTTATTCAAGCTGACAGAAAAAGTTTTAAGACATCTCATTCATATGAGACCAGAATGTTGAACTACTTTGCTGCACTGGACCAGACCCAGCTTGTCGGCCAGAGTCTTTCCATACAAACACGAGGCCTTGTGTCTGGAGGTGAGGTGTGTGGTTTGTCTGCAGAACCATGTGCATGTGTGTGTCTCGCTGTGAGTTAATTGAGAACACACCTGTTCTCCTGAGAAGGCTCAAAGTCAAACATGACAGCTCTCAGAAGAGGAGGAGGAATGATGGCAGAGGACAGGGTATAGAGGGGAAATTACAAGAGGAAGTCAGGACAACAAAAGCAATTAGACAGATTTTAATACATCGATAAAGTAGGATATAGAGGGTGAGAGGGAACTGAGACAGGGTGGTAGGGAAGGTTAGAAATCAAGAAAAAAAGGTGGTGAAGGACTTGAAGAGCCAACAAAATAGGAGGACAAGAGGAAGGAGGAAAGGAGAGAAGGGAATGTATGTGAGGAAACCGAGTCTAGGAAACAAGACCTTGGTAATTCCAGCTAGTTCTCAACAAAAAAAAATCTGGTTTCTTGATTAAAAATTCAGCTCAGTCTCTTTTACTTTCTCTTCTATCAAGCAACAAAATTGGCCCACAGTGACTTATCAACTTCAGAACCACCTGCTGGGTTTAAATACCACATAAACTCCCTCATTAGCTGTGGAAAAGACCTACTACTCGGATTTAAAGTTATATTTAACCCTTTTTGTGAAGTGAGCACTGCCCTATAGGCTTGGTTTCCATCAGGATTTATTGTTTTGAGGGCTCTGAAATTTAATGCTCTGGTTTGAATCACCTAATAAAAAGGCAAAGGGTGTTGTCAAAAGTTGTGAAATACTTTTTAAAAGTCACCTATCGATGGAAATCATTGCAAACATCAGTTTAATACCTTCATTTCCAAACTCAGAAAAAAAAAACTATTATTTATCATCTTTGCTGCTCAAGACCTTAAGGTTACCACTGCTGTATTGTCAACACAGAGGGGGGCTAACACCAGTAACGTCTGATTTAGAGAGGCAGAGAAGACACTGTTTCTCTTCATTTATCTTTTGCTGATGGCAAAGACAACAATGTAGTGCTGGTTGAACCTGTTGCACAAACCAGTATTGGCTGATATTTGACTGTTCAGAGACAGGGACCAAAAAGGAAATACTGTGGTATGCACTATTGTCAGTGGATGATGTTTATCTGTATCTTGTGACAGCTTGTCTTCTATCACAGTTTTTTATTGCATCAATTTCATGCTGCAAACCCCACCTGACAGCTGATTCCAATAGCTTATGTAATTATTGGGCAAAGGTAGTTAGTCACTGGACAAACTGATTTGTTTTTATTGCCAAATGTCAAAGAAAATGTCAGCAGTGAGAGAGATACACTTAATATATGTATGTTATTCAAAAAATCAGTTTATTGCATGAGTCCAACTGGACTTTTGTCAGTCTGACTGAAATTTCATTAAATTATTTTTTTCCTAATCGACTAACGTTCCCAGATAACGCTGCAGTGAATTTTCTCTTGCATGCATACATCTCAATCTAATTTAAACTGGCACATGCTTCAGTCTGTCAGATTATCAGTCCACAGTGTCCCCCGGCAACATCCTTTAACTTTAATATCGAACAGTCTCCAAGTATACAATCACAAAAGTTTGACTTGGACTTTAACAGAAAGAATATGTAACAGACTTCCTTCTCTTATCTGCTGTCATATTATAGCTTTTCCTCTTTGGTAAATATATCACACACACACACACCTCTTTCTTGCCTTTGAATTTGCAAAATGGTGTTTGTATTCAATTTCAAGGCCACTAACAAGTTCATGTTCAGTGACCAAGAGGAAAAGTGCAGAAAGCCAACTCCATGACATAGTGGCCCTCAGCTCATTTTTAACCCTTTTTAAAACAGAAAATGACCTCTCATCACCATCACAGTTTGACACAGGCAAAGTTAAAAACATTTGGAAATGTTGTTTTTAGCCTATTTCTCACAATAACTTGCAGCAACTGGCACCTTATAACTGCATTTTCCTGCTTCGGGATCATGACGGTTTTAAAAAATAATTAGGTCAAACACTGAGCACACAAAAAAGATCATTTCTTTGTCTTGTTGATTTTAAATAGTTTGAATCCTTTTTTTGATTTCTAATATATTTTCTTGCATCTATAACACACTTGGAATTGCCTTGTGTATAAATGGTGCCATACAAATAAACTTGCCTTGCCTGCCTTGCCTTTTAGGCAGTTCCCCCCAAAAAATAGGTACAACTCCATGGCTTCAAACTTCATTTTTCAGCTACGACCATGCTGCTCTCACAAACTCTCCATGGTGACAACCAATAGAGCATGCAAAATCCTTGTTTAAAGATGGCGCACCGCACCACTTTTGCACCTGTTATCAACTGCACACGCAATGATAGTAGATCACCCGCAACACGCCCACTAATAACACGTGCAATTTTTTAGTTTGCACACGCAGTTAAGCGCCCTTTATTTGGGATCTTCCTAGATCAAGCCCAACGGCTAAAACCCACAGGATCCGGAACGGCAGGCGGATCAAATACGCAAGCATTACAATCAAAGGGGCATCAGTGGCTTGAGTGAATACACCTTGAAGTACAACACTGCATTGCGTGGCAGGCAGATGCATCAAAATATCTCTATAGTTTTCCTACCCTAGATTTATTTCTTCCTGTCAGACTTAAAAAACAGAGTTCACTGTCATTTGTCCTCTGAGGCCAGCTTTACGAGAGTGTTAGCAGTCACGTTACATCTGTACAAGAATAATACTTTTCAGCTGTTTTGTCTGAAGTCTCAAGACCAAAAAGAAAAGAACCAGAACATCTCTACTTGATGTATTACTCCAAACTGCTCACCTCTACTACAAACTTGAAATGGAGGATGGGTAAACATTTTGCCAGAAGTTTGTTTGCACTTTGTAAGTTCTTCAGTTCTTCACTCAGCAGAGAAAATTACAGTTTTCTGAGTGTCTGACTGAAAGGACATGAATGCGGCGTAATGGGTTATAAGTAAAAAGAAAGAAAGAAAAAACACCAACCGAGTGAAAAATAATAATCAAGGCAGCATTAGGAGATTGTGTTATGACGGAAAGGACAGAGAAGAGGAAAGTAGGATGGAAAAGGTGAAGCATAATGGCTCTGACGAAGCGGTGATTAAGAAAAAGGTCAGAGGAAGAGGAGGAGTGGGGAAACAAGGAGGCGGAGAAACGAGCGTATTAAAAGAAGATGAGAGTGAAAAAAGAGAGAGAGGGTGTGAGGAAGTTTGAAGAAAGTCAACACTTTGGCAGAACACAGAGGCACCTTGACAGGTTTTTGAAGGGGCAACAAGACATTTTCTGGTCCGCAGCCATTTGCAGCGGCAGTGAGGAGAAAATGGAAAATAGGTGTAAAGGAGCAGGAAAGAGGAACTCGTGAATTAGGATGCCACTGAGTTAGTGAGGGAGGGAGTGGGGGTGGAGAGAGTAAACAGATTGGGAGGAGGTGGTGATGATAATGATGAAAGCTGTGTGAGCGTTAGGGCTGGTGGGAGGGAGGGATGGAGGGAGGGAGAGAGGCACTGGAAAGAGTGAAGGGATGCAGAGGAGTAGAAGGGTGGAGGGGGGGGAGTAATGATGATGGTAAGGGATGATGAGATGTGGTTAAATGAGAGATGATTTGCAAGACAAGGAGAGAAGGAGAGGGAACAATGAGCGCCCTCCACCAGGATAGCTTTAAGCCTGAAGGAGGAGAGTAGTGAAGGTGCTCGACACAAGAGGACACTGGAAGGATTGGAGGGAAGGAGCTGATGGAGGAGAAGCAAGCAGGAGGAGGAGATGGTAGATGAGGTGTATGAGTGCACACAACGTGCTATTGACTGAAGGCTTACCTCGTTAATTGCATATTCCCTATGATTGCACTATGAACCGCTGAGCTGCATGAAAATTACTTTCTCTCACTTTACTTTCAGACAAAGACAGAGAGAGAGAGAGAGAGAGAGAGACAAAGAGAGCGAGAAAGAGAGAAAATGGGTCTAAGTGACTTAACAGGAAACAGACAAGACAGCTTGTGTAGAAACAGACAGGAGCACAGTTTGATCTTCTTCCTGTTTTAGTAGAAATGATGAGCGTTGAATTGTGTAAAGAATAAAAAGAGGAGGGGGAAAAAAGAAAGAAAGAAGTAGTGCACATACCTGTCACATTTTTTTCACAGTGAACATATAACTCAAAGATATTTTCAGCTTATTCGATGTAACTTAGTCCAGCCAACATTGTTGTAAAACTCACACAATAACTCAAGATCCAGCTCACGATGGTGTAAAAGCTTGGTTTAGTATTCAGTCAAAAAAGTAAACTACAAATCCATTTAGTGCTGTATTATAGAAAACTTGAAATCTTAAAAGTGGTGTTTAACAGCTTGACTGAAATGCTCCATCACAGAGAAGCAATGACATGAACAATAGAACTAACAGCAGCCACATCATGTTTTAAATCACTATGTTGTCATGAACTTTGCTGTACAGCACCAGTAAAGCAGTGTCTGAGATGTACCGCTGAGACTGTCAGGCATCCTGTAAATCCAAAACTCTTAAAGGCTTTTAAAATTCCCCAAATTCTCTGCCATGGAGATGGCTTGTTATCCAAAGCGATGGTTCAACCATCCTCTCTGTAATCTACTGGTCTTTTCACACACTTGAAGATCGCTATCCTGGCTTGTTAATGCATAGTTTGTGGCTTCAATGCAGCAGCTATTTCCTCTGCAGCTGTAGTGAATGTTGAATGTGTTCAGAATGTGTTCGGCTATTATTTCGATGTTGAACCAAACACAGCTTCACTGCTACCACCTCGCCATACAATCATATTGCATTTACAGGAAGTTGCTGCTGAATGTTTTCACTCTCTAGTTTAAAGGAACTCTGTTACACTTATTCTCACCTTTCATCCTGTCAGTCTGGGATGCTAAGTGAGCAGCTTTGCCTAATTTAGGCTTCTGTGGTAACCTTCATTTCAGCACTATAAGGCCTTCACTGAAGGCCGCTTTTCCACTTACATTCACTAAGTGAAACCTTGTGGGTGTTACTTCTTACAGAGCTAAGTTCTCATGAAATGACTGAAAAGTTTTGCCTTTACAGAAAATATCTGAGCTCCCCAACTTGCCATTAGTTATGGTTACAGTTAGGTTGTTGTCCTGAAAATGTGAAACTAGGGTTACCATACGTTAGGACTGGGGGATTATATGATCCTGATTAATGATCGTGATAAATTTCAGTTCGATCACTGTGATCAGCTGTGAGCATATTTACTCGGAGCCAACGGCCAATCAGAGTTATGCTTTTCCTGCTCACTTCTGTAAGTTGCCGGAGAGGAAAACAAGGTAAGTAAACAGAATGACCAAATGTGGAGCTAAACGCAGAGCTGAGGGCAGCAAAGTAGATGGCAGCCATGACTTTTATGCCATTGTTGAGCAGAAAAGTTATTCAACGTTGGTTTTGTGGCGGTGGTTCCGGTATCTCCAAAGTGACGTCGAGCTATTAACACGGTGTGCAAGGTATGTCGGCGGTTGGCGCCCTCACAAACTGGCAACACAACAAATCTGAAGAAGTACGTCCTGAGTGATTATGTGGGAAGCATGAAAATGCGAGCGCAATCTGCTCAGCCTGCCACTGCTGATGGCACTCATAGCATTAGCAGTTTAACCACAACTAGCAGTGCTGCCACCAGACCAAAGCAGTAATCAATAGTATCATCTACATTAACACCATCGTATGTTTACAGTTTAAGGCATCTTCATTTTTGATTTATTTATTTGGGTCTGGCATACCTGCAAAAACACCCAGGACTGTAAACTAGTTCACTGTATTATTAAGTATTCATCCACATTTGTTGTATTGTTGAGTTAAAATGTTTTTTTATATTTTTCTAAGTTTATCTTATTCAATTTGCTTCATTTACTTTGTATGTGAATAAAATGTTGGACTAATCTCTAGTTTCTTTAGCTTTTAATACAGATGCTTTAAAACTGGCAGTTTAAAAAAAATAAATAAATAATAATAATAATCGAGATCCGACAATATGACAAAACAAAAGATATTGGGATCATTGTTTTTTGCCAAATTGTCCAGTCCTACTGTATGTTCTCTTTTACCCAGACATGACCTCTTTTGGCAGCCTGTCTGGGGGGAGTTTATAAAATCCTTCAAATGTCCAGGGTTTTTTTTATGTATCTACATGAGGCCTGTCTTTTGGAGAATTCAGAATATGTGTTTAACTGAGTTAGACTGACCTGAAAAACCCTGAAATTTTGCGCGTACAACTCCGCCCTGCATAGGAGTTTCCTCTTGTTGGGGCTTCAGAATATGGTCACCCTAATAAAACCTACCCTCTGTTTTCTGGTGTCCTCCTCTTTGGGAAGAGAAAATGGCTGTGACTTTCCCTCACAACCAAAACAACACTTACAGGCAATTTCCACAGACATACCGGATCAACAAAGTGCAGAGCAGAGAAAATAACTGAGCAGTGACAAAGACTCTTCAGCTTCCGGATGGGCGTCTCTCTTTGACAGAGTTTCCAGGTGGGCTCATTCTCAAAACAGGCTATTCAGAGTACCCAGACATCACATCAAGGGATTACAGCACCATCTGTGTATCTCATGGAGAACTTTGCCATGGTTTTGTATAGTTATTCAACATATAACAAAACATTTCTACTCTGCTTACATTTCACATTTTAGCCACTGGCTGCTAACGCTGACTTACTCACATGTTTGCTTCAGTTAGGATCAGGACATATAAGGTTGTCAAGTGCACCAAGTGGTGGTCTGCTTTTTGATTATGCATGTTTAAAACAATCTTTTTTTTTCATGCAGCAGTGACAGTTTCTCCAAGGTTAAAGGTACTGCATGTATTTAGCTTCCTCTTCACCCTCTTTGCTTTACTTGAGACTTTTATACATGTGTAGCCTTTTTCACAAGCAAAGATCATATTGGTGTCTTTAAACACTTGTCATGTTGCAACTCAACTGTACTAAAGAACTTTTATCGATGTATTCTTGTGAATTAATGATTTGATATGATGGCGCGACTCAATCTGAGATCTAATGTCGCATTGCAGGGCCCACAAGACTTGCTAGCACAATCAGTCAGCTTAAGTGTTATTGATTTTTGGGGTTTGAACAATACAGAGCTACCGTAGTTTCTCAGTTGAGGGGCGGTTTCACTCCTCATCTTTACATTCACACCCAATAACAGAAAAGGCAAAAGAAAATTAGAGTAAGGAAATAGAGTAGGGAACCAGGTGAGAAGTGGGGAATGAGAGGGTTGGGATGAAACCACAGCTGTCTGCTTCCAGGGCTGTAACCTCTGAACATGAGGGGAACAATTTAACCACTTCATTCCTTCAGTGACAGAGTTCATTTAAAGTCATGGAGCAGACAAGTTGGGCAGATTAAACTAATTACCAAATTGCAGAACATCTACATTTTCTGTGCAATGAAAAAAAATATATAACATGCTGTCATATACACTGAATCCTGGTGAACACTGCATGTAATCTGCACTGCACTGCATGTTGTCCCTGGGGAAATTACAGCAGACAGGTCATCAGTAGTAGAGCCATAATAAGTGGAGATGAACATCCATCTTTTTATGCATGTCATTTAGATCAAATGCTAGGTTATCGTACTGGTGATCATATATTGACAAACTGTGTAGGTAAAGTCCACTTCTGCTTTATCTGCAAGCTTAACAGTAAGGGCAGGGTTATTTTTCATTATGTGGACGTCTGTATCCAGGTGTTTTATCCCATCTGATGTCTGTTGTCTTGAAGAAAGATGTATTTCTGAATGTGAACATCCTCAAACAAACATGGCCGAAGGTAATGAAGAAGACATTTCTGAGCGGCTCGTTACTGAACGAGGCTCCACATGAGGGATTTCCTTCAAGATTGGGGCTTAGATGAGCGCAATCAGGTATGCTTGACATCGGACAGTGGATCTGTTCACTCTGTTCACTCTGTGCAATAAGAGTTTTCAACAAATGTTGAAAATGTTTTCACATTTGAGACTTGTTTGATGTCATTAGTTTCCTCCATAACCTACCACTCAAACTTATGCTTAAGTATAGGGCTACACCTAATGATAATTTTTAAATTGATTAATCAACAGTGTTTGTTTACATTGCTGAGTAGGACACGGCGCAAGATAACAGCAATTCTCCTAGTTAAATAAAAGCTGCCACACTTTAAAAATGAGATTTTTCTTCTGTGGCTCTACCTCAGACTCATGTGTATCAGTATACATTTGTGCAGCAGAGCTTGCTTGTGTCGAGTATTAGCATTAGCGAGCTATCGTCGGTGATTACACAGCTGATTAATTAGTAAGTTATAAGACAAATAAAAGCACAAAACTGATGCTTTAACTCCGAGCCAATTGCTTAAAGTGAATGAATTAGATATGGGATGCAGAGGATATGATGCAGCGTCCACTGTGGAGTTTGCTGCACCAGAGGTGGGTTATTTGATTGCCAGGTCACTACTGTCTCCTTAAATGTAAGCAGCGTGATGTTGGAAATGTAAACTAGGAAGCCAGGAAGAGCACATGCATTGATTGAGAGAAGCTTCTCATAGATCATGCTGAAGTAGGTTTTAAATCGATCCCATTCGGTGGAGTTCGTTTGCTGTCCATGCCTCCACCGTTAACTTAAGTAGCCATTGTCTACATCATTGTGAGACGCGACAACGAATTTTTGTAGTCAATTACGCTGACTAGGTCAACGAATCGCCCCAGCCCTAGTTAAGTACCTTATTTGACTATTCCAACTGGTATTCCCAAGACAAAATGAGTCATTACTATAGATTGGAATTAAAATATTTTTTATTGGGACCTTTATTTTATCGTTATCGCAAGTGATAAATTTGATGGCCCATATTGCCCATCCCTAGTGGCGACATGTATGTGAGGTAAATGTTGAAATATTAAATACTTTCCAAAGATTTATAAGAAAAGGAAGACAAAAATGTATCTTTCCACTTTTTTCCTTTTAAAAAAAAATCTAATTCAGAGAGAGGCACACACACAGGTGTTTCAGAGTGGATCTATCATGTGATTACTCAAACAATCATTGGCTTTGTGGAACAAACATCTGCCTCCCAAAGTATTCTGGCTGCATAAACACCAGGTGCTCTTTGTTGTGGAAAAGCAATTTATGCCCATGAATACCTGCAGTATGTTACCAATGTGAAGCCCACTGATTTCTTTTATACTGGAAATATTTGTACCAGCATTCAATGAGAATACCTCAAACCCTGCAGATGATGGAGGACGCTGATTTGATTTATGATTATGATTCATGACTGTGGTATGATCTCTATGCAGCACACTCTGGCACACACAGACAATCTATACACACAGCATGAACAAAGCATGAACAAAGAGTGGGTTAGGTAGATTTAAACATGCAGACGGTGACACAAAAGATCTTTTTCTTTTCTTTCAAGCTGCTTTAGGAATGAAACCCTCCGAAATATTTCACCCTGCAGTCTGAGGATATGAGACTCAATCAAACATTATGTGACCTAGCAGGAAAAGTCATTTTAACCTATTCAACCCTTATTAAACACAATCTGATCTGTGTGTCTCTGTCTATTTGAGTCAATCAGCTTGATGACCTCAAACTCTCTCTCATTCTAATTTACCTGCAAGAACACACGCTCACACAAAGCAAGTTCATCTAGGAAACACAAAGCCATGTAAGGCAAAGGGTATCAAAAACGCTAGTGCATGTGTTAGTACATCCTCAGTGCAGCCTTTTAGGCCTCGTAGCTCAAATGGCAATGCTTCAGATGTGATGGGCTATTTAGTCAAATGCATCTAAAACTCATGGTTCTTGTAATTTAGCCTGTGGTTATTTATTCACTGTTGTTAGCTTACTTCAGCTGTTGGTGCTTCTAACCTATATTCCAGTTTCCTCCTAAAGCAGCATCACAAAGTCAGACGACCAAGTCACACCCAGTCTCCATCTAGCGTCAAAGCGATCACAGAGCCTGTCACCAAGGTAACAGTAAAAGATCTAGTCTTCATGACTGCAGTTAAGTCCAATTGGTTCAGGTAGGCTATAGACAAGTGATGCAATGGATCAGTGGTGGTCCCTTGGGTTGTCAAAAGTATAGATACTTTAAAAAGTATCAATACTTATACGCTGTATCCGGATACGATACTAATTCGCCATGGTATCGATACCACGGTGCGCGTGCCCGCAGTGCCCACCGAGCGCACTCAGCAAGCAGGGCAGCCTACCCGGCAGACAGTGTCCACCCAGCAGACCGGCAGGCGCAAGAGCCCCCGCTTGCTGTCCCATGTTTTATTGCTGTTAAGTGTGGCCAGTGTTTCAGAGTGGTGGAGACAAAGTCAAGTAGCATGACTAATTTGGTAAAACACCTTAAGGACCGGCATCCTGGCCTTCATGACAAATTCTGGCAGGTTAGTAAAGTTCATCCATTACCTTAATGTGTTCAACTGATTAATGATGTTAGTCTGACCGGTGGCCAGCATTAATCTGCAGAAGCCGCGGTTAGTTTTATCCTCAGTGAATGTTGGTTGTTTTGTGATTAGCTGTGGCTAGAGCTCCACTGTAGTCCGCGGTAGCCGCATTTAGCTTTATGTTCAGTGAATGTTGTTTATTTTGTTATGGGCCATTAGCCATGGGCCCGCAGCTAGTGGCCTTTAGCTCGCTACCGTGACTCAAACACGTTTTCTTCTCTTAAAGTTGCAGACTAAAGCAGGGAGAAGTTGACCTGCAACTAAACCGAGAAACCACAGCCTACTCTTCCACTGCTATTTTAAAAAACAGAGAAAGTATGACGCAAAGGCTCCTGAAGCTGTCAAAATAAACAGAGCTGTAGCAGAGTATATCTGTGAGGACCAACTACCCATTTACACAGTGAAGAAACCTGGGTTCCAAAAGAAAAAGTGACTGTCTCATTTTTTATTTTTTTAATATTTTTTTTTATTTCCGATTATTTAATACTTTTATTTAATTGATTGTTTATCTGCCATTCTGTTTTTCATGTTAACACAAATATTTTTTATGCCTTAAAAGTATTTATCATTTTTTATCCCCACGGTATTGAAAATGGTATCGAGTACTTTCCTGGGTATCAATATTGAGTTTAAAATTTTAGTATCTTGACAACCCTAGTGGTCCCTGACTACCTTAAACAGTTTGGCAAGTTTTGACCACCTTGTACTATTCCTGGGAGTACTCACCACTACTAACCAATATGAGCATGAGAAAGATGCCTGTCTGTCTGCGTCCTACTCATGCTTACTCTGAATGTCTCAGAGAGAAGAGGGCTACCATTTGCAAAACAAGAACAATTCTATTTTGCTGCACATAAAAGAGTCATCATTACAGGCCCCAAATGTGGAAACACTGATGGCAGCGATATGATGCCTCTACAGTCTGCAGATACGTTTGTCCAGTATTCAGTGCAGACGGAATGGATCACTATGGATGAAGAAATAAAATGAATGGCTTCACTAATCACTGTTAAAATCATACAATGTTGGTTGTCTATTTTTTAGATGCTATATTTGCAGTTAGATCTGTGACAATAACTCTGCACAGTTTAAGTCCCAAAATGTGTACCAAGTGGGAAAAGAAAAACATCTGAAAGCTAGCATGCACATAAATGCGTCATGTTCACTGGTGTAAATTATGTACACCAGGGCAGCTGATACCTGTTTAAAACAAGTGACTCACTTGTGTTGAGCGTACGTTTCTTCATAATTCAATATAAAAGTAACATCAAACAATCAACAAATGACTTGATCTTAGATGAATGGCGATTCACTTAAATTATTGTGCCTTGAAATGCACGATGAGAATTGTAGTTCAGCGAGAAGGGGAAAAGTTTGATAAACGCTTCTTTTTTGGCGCAGCTGACCCAAATTAAACCATGTCCCTGGATCTGTGAACCACTTCGCCCTAACAAATTTCCTTTGTGAACTTTTAGTTGCCATGACAGCCAAACAACTGTGATTTGTATTTCTAATAATTGTTTTAGTTACCAGCCTACATTTGCTGATGGCGTTAACTGTTGTTAGTGCAGGAAGATTACTTCAGCCCTCAACCTTAGTTGCAACCCTCTTTCTGGAGGCACATTATCAAAGGAACATAAACAGACAAAGGCACATCAGTTTTCCAATCCTTGACCTGAGAAACTGCAGAGACATAACTTCGCTTTGAACATTTCTCTTTGTCACTGCTTCAGTTCTTGCAACAGACAACAGAGTATCCACTTAGTTCTATTGGTAAGAGTATACCTGGGTGATATTGGTATCACTGAGTATCAGCACCAACATCAAGAGTGATAGTGGTAATAATAAAATCCAAATGATACCCTGCTCCACCTGTGTGCTTGTTTACACTCAGCACTCACACAGAAAGACACACACTGGTCCCTGGGATCAATTTCAATTTTCAAGTTAGGGAACAAACCAGAAGACAGCCTTTCATCCCTTCAGCCTCTTCCTCTACGCTGCCCACTTCACTCCATTGATCTCCACCAATCTCTTCTGTCTTGGTTTCCCGTCTCCCTCTCCTTCAATACTCCTCTGTCTGTTTTCTGTCCATCTCTCATCCTTCCTCTTCACTGCCTTGATTCTTTGTAGACCTCTAACTCTGACTATGTCTGTTTTCTCCTGAGGTTGCTTCCCCTGTTGCTCCTGTGTGTTTTGTCTCTATCATACACACACACACCTCATTAAATAGAGTTAATTTCTAGCTCTTGAAAAGCTATTGACCTGCTGCAGAGGTTGCACTCATTGTCAACCTTTATTGAGCGGGGCACATCTGTATGCCTGTCTGTCTGTTAGATCATCTGCCAGTCTATCCTTCTGCATGTCTGTCTAACATGTGTGTGCATTAGAGAAGAGTTGATTTTTTATTTTTTTTTTTGAAGTGTTTTAACTTCTTGGAAGATAATTGGTGGGATAAACTGTCACAGCTGTAATTATTTTACTCTGCAAAACCTTTAGCTTACCTTTAAGGCAGCATGTCGCCTCCCTTGTGCTAAAAAACCCTTCAAACAAGATCCTGTGATCAGGATATACTTTATAAATAAGTATAAATATACTTTACTTTGTATACTAAAAAAAAGTCCAGTCCATACTCTATTTACAAAGACCCAATGTAAAGACGGCATAAGATTGAGCCCCATCTTTTAGGATCAGATTCATTCCTGTCCCATCTTCAACCACTAGTGGAACACTTTGCAGCATTTATCAAGTTACAGTGGAGAGGAAAAACTTCCTTTAACTGGCAGAACCAGACTCATGTAAGACAGTCATTTGCCATCACTGCATTGGTTTTAGAGAGGGGGATATAGAGAGATGCATAAAGATTATTATATGACAGTTATCAGCAGTGCCTCTGATGGATATTGACAGAAGATAAGACATAGTGAAGTAAGAGGGTGTTGTGGGACATGCAGGTGTGTTTATAGTGAGAGGAAAGCTGCAGGTATGTGGTAGCATAACTGAGATAGAACCAATTAAATTAAAACCTAACCTAATACTGATGATAGAACTACTGATAACAACAATATCATTATCACTAACAGCATCTAATGTGCATATGAAACATCTTCACACGAAACAAGAGTGAGGGTACTAGGCTACAGTACAAGACCTAAATGCTATTTTGTTGTTATCACAAGCAAAATCCTCAAAACTGTTGTCATATATTTTTAGTCAATATCACATATTGGCTGGTCTGGATGTATTCAGATTCCACATGAGCAGTAAAATGCTCTCCATAAAGGGGGAATCTTCAGGTTAGTTTCTACTTTAAAAGGTGTTATATTTAGCAGTGGCATTTCACGCCTAGGCCTTCAGTGCCGTTTCACTTAGTCCTGCCTAAATTAATACTCTTCATAGTACCATCAATATAACACCATGGCTCGAGAATCCATCAGAATCATACTTTCACATAACATCACCTTAACATCTAATCCAGCAACACTTCATTTCCAGAGCATTTAAAACCAATAAGCACACATTCACAGTTAAGAGTAGGAAACTAAGACCACAGATACTGTCAAAACTCAATAATAAAAGGAGATATTAAGACATAAGTCAACAAAAGGCCACCAAAAGCTCAAACGAGTTTGCGCAATAAATTGCGCGTTGTCACCATTGAAAAATATAAAGCTTGCACTCACCACCACAGATCTCCTGCACAGCGCCTGTTTTTCTGAAAATAAAGTCCATCCTCCATCCTTCTTCTCCCAAGAAGACTTCATTGCTCTGTTGAAAAGTTATCCGTGCGTTTCAGATCCACCAATAAGTCTTTTTCCATACTGAAAGCCGTGTCTGTCCGGTCGTGTCTCTATACTTTTAAATGCAGCCATAGCTGTCGGTCGCAAACCGATCTTTGGGTTTAGTTCGACATTTTGTAAAGTACCGCCTTTCAGGTTCTCACGAGTAATTATCCAATCACAGGACGCGTACATGTCCCGTTTAGCGTACCTTTAAGCTGGCTCGAGCTCTGATTGGTTGTTGCAACTGACTGCGTCCATTGAAGCGCACGCGAGCCTGCTCTGTTGATTCTGACGGCCTTGGGCAGATTTCATTGCACCTGACAACTCAAGCTAGCTGAAATATGATTGGATAAAAAATGATATCATAATATACAACATTGGAAGCAGCTCAACCAAGTGGATATACTATGACATAAAGAGAACAGACAATATAGAATAATTGCATTTAAATATTTGTGAAAAAAATAAATAAATGAATAAACAAATGTACTTTTCAGAGTATGCGTAGGCCAGCAGAGAAGGCCTTCCTGGCCCTGGTACTTAGCAGCCTTTAGTTGAATAGACATGATAGAAATTAAACTAATGTTCATAAGTTTGTAAAACCTGGTGAAATAATAACCTAAATATGAAATTCTTTTTGTTTTTGTTATTTTTATTTATGTTTACATAAGAGGCCATTCTCCTTCCATTAAGGCCACCAATTTTCACCACCATGTTTCTAGTTGCTCCATATGGACAAACCAGGAACAGCTACAAGTATTTCTTCTGATTTAGTAAGCAGCTATCTAAAGTGTATGACAGAGTGGGGTAAGATGAGCCATTTTTCATATTTCGGATCACTTCATCAAGTTAATCATAGTTTTGTCTCTAACTAGTGTATCTGCATATATTTTAAGATGTTGTGCATCCCTGCAAACCAACAGAATGAGTGTAAACATAACTGTCTTGATAAAATAGCATGCCAAAAAAGTGGTCTCCTATGGTCAACTTACCCCATACACGGGGTAAGTTGATCATAGGAGCAGGGTAAGTTGAGCTGTATCCCCACTCCCCACCCCCCACTCTCCACTTTAGCCCTCCCTCCCCCTTATCATTTACTGTTGCTTCATGTGTGTCACCAAAGACAGGAATGAGCTGATTGGCAGTCATCATCCACATAAGGCATCATGGTATAGTGAGGTAGAGTGACAAAAGCTTTCAACAAAGAAAGGAACAAATAATCCCTCTGAGTATTGAATTTGTTGTTAAGGATTTACTGTATTGAGTTTCCCCAGAGACTCTGTGGTTTGCAGCCTGATTTAGGAAGCTCACTAAAGACAACCTTATGAAAAAGGCAAAGCAGTCTGCATTATAACAGGAAAATATCAGGTGTTCCAGATCTGGGGTAAATAATACCCTACAATGTTTATCCACATAAACAACTAAAAAAGGATTCATAGCTGGTTATTGAATAAGTTGGTGTCGAAGCTCAAGAGGGGGGAAAAGAGAGAGTGAGACATGTTTGCAGGGGAAAATGGAAGGTCATACAGAATGCAAACACTTTAAGTGATCAAACTTTGCTAACCTCTGGAGGGACTATGTATTATCAAAAAAAAATGGCTACCAGACCCAGTGGGTGATAGGTAAATGTCTCCTTTAATAGACCTAGCCTTTCAAACTAAACTTTATATGAATGTGATGACATCTGAATGATGAATGAAGTACATAAAGCAAAAACACATCAATTGTTTGAAGTCATTCAGAAAAATATTAACAACTCTGCATGCGACGGCTTTGTTTTTCGCTGATAAGGAAACAGCAGAGGAAGTGTGTATATTTGTGTGTAAAAATGTGCGTATCAAGGTGTTTGCATGAAAAAGGAGACACAACAGACGAGAGTAACAAAGAAAAAGATGCTGATGGAAAGGAGTTATGCTAATATTCTGCTGACACTTTAAAAGACTTATTGATAAGACATGAAACGACAGAACAAAATGCTGGTATGTTTATGATAACACTTTCTCAGATAATAGAGCTTTCAGCAGTAATTAGGAGTCTGTGTTTGCTCCTAGTCTTTGCTGATGCGGCTATGATGATGCTAAACACTGTCGCACAATGCTGCATTTATTCAAAGCATTTGCAACATGTGTGACCCTCTGTGCGTTATTATCGCTTTTTGCACAACAGTCTGGGTGAATAGTCATTCTTGATTGGCTTGATGATGAAGAAGTTGAATAAATGAATGCCCTGTATACACCTCAACCTTAAACTGTTGAGAAAAAAGCAACCAAGCCTAAAAGCCTCAGATTATGATTGATGCAGCTTGTTTTCAAGCGCAAATCTGATTATGAATTTAGGGATCTTAACATTTATTTTAGCCGTAAGGTAATGTGGCAAATTTACAAACAAAGTTGCTGAAGAAGAAGGAGAAAGAAGAGAAGAATAGTTATGATGTTTAAAACACAAAGTGTAAATCCTTCAAAGTTTTCGCTCTGCATTTCAGGATTATGCCACTAACATGCAAGATGCAACAGGTCCACCACATTTCACCATAACTAGTTCTCCATTAAACTTGCACTTTTAAAGTTCAACTTACAAACACAATGTGTGCAGAAAGGCGTGTCCCAGTTGGCTTATTTTCAGACTCAGGTGCGGTTTTATTGTGGTAAGAACATGAACCAGGTGTGATCATATAGATCTTTACTGCAGACACCTTAGAGCATTTTGGATTAAAGTCTGGACACACCTGGAGTCATAATGAGGTGCAGGTGTTCAAAGAGATTCGGTTAGATGCATTTAAAAGCACACATCTACTCACTCTTTAGTGAACGGCTGAGTAAAAAGAGGTGTCTTAGGTCTTCAATGACTCCAGTGCATATATTGTTTTCAAGCTGCAGCTGAACCTCATTTTCAAACTGTACCATTTTCCTCTAGTGATAAACACAAACAATAAAAAAATAGACTAAATTGAACATCAATCCTGAGTTGTCTGTCTTTTTTAAAATATCCAAGTGTCTCAGAAGCAGCCACAATCTAGCAGGAGCCACTGGTCTTTAATTATAACAAGAAATTCTGACCTATGAGAGAGCACTTTCTCATGCATTAGACATTTTTGTTTGATTGCAAATGTTCCTGTGTGAACATGAACCAAACTCGAGGTAATTACTCAACAAGGAGTTGATTCATGATTCAGACCAATATAAAATTTTCATTTTCAACAACTGATATACTTTTCGATACTTTCTATTAAACATGGGGCTGAAAGGGATTTGCAAACCATCAGAATCTGTTCTTTTCATTTTGCACAAGGTCCTAACTTTTTTTGATATAGCAATTGTAAAATAGTTGCAAAAATAAGCCCTGCATGATGGACTCCAGATTTGTCAAGCTGTATGACTCAACCCTCTCCAATTTGGATAGTTCTTTTAAAATACATTTCATTTTCTTTTAACAGACAGCAACATTAAAGTGCTTTACATGCAAAAATAAACAATTAAAAATACATAAAATTTAAAAAGTCAAAAGATTAAAATTGTACTTGTCTATTTCATTGGAGCCCAGTGAGATGGAATGACTTCTCCTGGTTTTGGTCGAGTTTTGACTTCAAAACACATGAAAACATAGGAAAATAATCCTATTTTCAAGAGACCAGACCTTATTGTCAGAGTACACTAAGACTGTACACCAGTTTAAAAGCTGAATTTCAGAATGAAAGCCAAGCAAATATGTTGATGAACATGCTAAAGTCAGTTAAAACAGCCAATAATCTGTTCACCCAAAGAAAGTCTCCTGAAAGTTTGACAGTCGCTTTAACTGGAAAAGATCTGTGGTCCTGATGTAAACCATCTCAGAGACTGTCAGAGGCTGCTGTCAGTGACCAAGTTCGTAAAAACATGACTTCTTTGAAAATGTGTGTATTCAGGATAACAAAAGTATTTTTGGTTAGTTAACTTTATACACTCCCTCTGAAAGTTTTCAATAAACAATGCCTCGATCGTGCTCAATATTGGGGGTTAAATCAGTAGATCTATCCTCCTTTACCTGTGCCTTTACAGTCAGAAGCATAACAGCTCTCATAGAGTTGAGTGTTTTTTTACTCTTTTTTTTCTTCTATGATATGCATGATTACCAGATGGGATGAAAGAAAGTGATGAGGGCAACCTCCGTGTCTGAACAAAGAAAGTGCAAACTGCACACTCTGCAGTGTGTGTTTGAATCTTTGTGTAATCTTTCGTGTGTTTACTTATTACTGGTTTCATTGTTTTTCTAATTAGGGCTGCAAATAATTATTTTCCAGTGTCGATTAATTTGTCATTTATTTTGTGAATTAATGTTTTAAACTACAAACTTCTTCTCCCAGTTTGATGGATTCAAGGTGAACTTCAAATGAGTAGAGTTTTCTCTGAGCAGCAGTCAAAATTCTCCCAACAATATTCATTTACACGACTAAAAACAGCCCCACATTCCTTCAGCTGAGACACTTTGTCCGCGCAGACTTTAAATTTTTGGATTTATGATTTAACCGAGTTGTTATTTTGTTAAACCACTGAGGTATTCACTCAGGTATGGTAAGAAAAATACCTGTTTCACCTCAAATTGAACCTGCAGAAGGACGACTGTTACACCCTTTCTCCTACTGTATGATGATAGTTTATTGTCTATCTAGTCTCATTTACATTGAATATAATTGAATTTTGAGCCAATGAAAATGGATTTGCTTGGTCCTCACTGACACTGATCCTCAACATTATTTATCTATCTTATTTTGACAACGCAATAATAAACTCTCTTTTCCTGCCACTTTAAGAGCTTTAAGGCGACTTACTAAGCTAAATAAGGGACCAGGGTCACAATGCTCCTGAAAACAGTCTTTAAGCAGATTAGAAAGTATAATCTGACATGGGTCAATAAACCATCATAGTGATCAATATGAGACACAGCAACCTAATCTCCTTAACCGCCTTTGGATCCCACCACAATTATGTTTCTATCTGATTTTTTTTCTGTTTATTAGAAAGTAATTCACACACTCATATGAAAGGGATAATCAATGTGCGCAGTGGCTGCAGTAGTTATGGCCAAGGTCACACAGAGTGGCTCACAGGTGGATGGTAAGAGGTGAATTTTCATTACACTGAGAAGAGAAGGGCCACAAAAAAAGACTTGTATCAGTGCATTTGCCTCTTAAGTGTTTCATGTAACACAAAGAAACGAGTGCTTAAAGTATAGACTGTGCATGTGTGCGATAATTGTGAGGGTTTAGTGGGTTCTAGTGCTTTTAGAGCAAGTTAGACAAACACAGGGAGAGAAGTTTTCTACTATCGTTCTGTGAACAGATTTTTTTTATGGTGTGATCATTAGTAAACTCTATTTCTCAAAAATTATATCAAAGTGCTTAGTTTTCTCTGTGTGTCTTTTGTATCCTCTGAGCTGATCCTCAAACATTTAGATGGGCCTGCTACAGTTCCTGCTAAATTAGACTAATATCCTCTGTGCCTCCTCATTTCATCTGAGTTCAGAAGAAACAAAGAGGTTAGTGAAATTTAAGAGAAACACAATAGTGTCAATTCAGTAAATTTCAACTACAATACGCCCTTAATGCTTCACTTGGCAAATTTACAACACTTTTCTAAAACTGTTGACATTAAAGTCCACATACTTATTATCCTATAATACATGCGTGAATTGTTAGTGTGTATGATAGTGGCATATTAGCACTTCAGTAGTCACGGAGCACTGATTCATGCCCATTCCTTAGTGATGAGTCAAATCCAGTTATTACTGTTGAGTCAGAGCTAGAGCTTCATCAAAGTCTGGTTTATACTTCTGCTTTGGTCTTCACCACAGGTGCATGTAGCCCTGCACCTTCACAGAAGAACCTGCTTGTAACTTGATGGCTCAGATCCACCATTAGGCCAGTTATAGGCTGGAACTATTTTAAAAGCTAGTCATATAACTAAGAGTAAACAACTGTTTGCTTTAAATACATGACTTTGACAAAATGAAGGGAAAAAGTTTATATAAAGGGACCCAGTTGGCTGTCTCCATGGTACCAGGAATCCTAGAGTGTTTTCTACAGTGAGACTACTGTTTGCAGTTCACAATAATGGGGACAAATTCTCAGACACAATGTGCTAAAGCTTCGCAAAGCAGTAGTTAAAGGGAGATGTCAGATGTATATAGTGTAGAAAATGGCACGCTGCAAGGTAGTGTTATCAGTTCAGTGTCATTTAATATCATGGTCAGTAAAACTAAAGGAGACTTCAGAGTGTCCCTGTTTGTAGAAGATGAGGCTATCTGAAAAAAAAAAGAGATTTACCATATGTCCTCAAACAAACTCAAGAAGCACGAGACAGAAAGGGCAAATGAGTGGGGTTTT